TTTTTATGGATGGGCGATTTTTATTTAAGTTCTTTTGGACTGAAGCAATGCAACACCCGCTGAGTGGCATTAAACAGCTTGAAAGATCAAAGACAATTTTTTATATAACTCCGACTGGATTCGTCTGAAAGAAGAAAGTCATACACCTAGGATGCCTCGGGGGTGAGTAAAACGCAGACTAATTTTCATTTTTGGGTGAACTAACCCTTTAACTTATTCACCTACAGTAGTGTTAAAATAAGCAGTTTTATTTGCCCCTGCTTCTTCACCGACCTTCTTGTCGTGGTGAGTGCTGGCCTCTGGTCGCCGTGGAAATGAGTTTCGTCCTCAGGGTTGCTGCATGCGCTTCAGCAGCACAGCGCGGGGATCAGAAGCAGCGGCTAATTAACCGCCTCCAAATGACTAGGAAATAAAGATAAACGTATCTCACAATAAACAGTATAACCATTACTCCTTAATTAGTAAACTAATTAGTAAAACTGCCTTTAAGTCATTGCCTTGATAATTGTGTGATACAGGTAACAGTTAGGCTACATCCATAAACACAGCGAAACTCTAAGGCTTTGACTTCCACTTATTTTAAAATGTCTTCAGCCTAGTTTTCCTCCTCACTGCTCTCTCTAAATTACCCAGAAATACACAGTGCCGGTAATTGATCTGATATAATCTCTCGCCAGTCCTCCATCAACTCCCCTGCGAGATGCGACATTGATACGAATACGATACGAAATTGCTGCGGTACGCACTCACGCACACCAATTCAATTACTGCAAGAATTACTTGTCATATCCACTTCCCTCTCTATTTAGTGCCTTAAATTTGATCCTTTTGAGAATTACACGAGGAGACGTGATGTTTAGTGTTTCATAAATGTTAACCCAGCAAAAAGAGAATGTAATGAGCTTAGTAAAATGGGCCCGCTCAGTTTTGTGTAACACACAGATGGTCGTAGTTCCCGCGTTTCACCGCTGGATGGCACTCTTGCTACACGGTTTTGGCTTAAAAATATAAACCTTCCCCACCTAACCTTACTTTTCTCAGTGGAAATAACAATTACAGATTCCCTCAGCTGGTTCTTCCACATTTGTGTCATGCCGTACTGCAAAATCTTGCATGCTGTTCTGTAAGCCAAGTGGCCATTCATTCGGCAACTGCAGTGTGCAAGAAGATGCTCTGCCGCCTGCCAAAGTCATACAGAGTGCAAACTACCGTAGCTTGTTCACACACACCGCCTATAGGCTGTCAGCTAGGCTCACAGCAGACCCGACCTCTCTCATAGTAGCACCCCACGCCCGCTCTGTCATTCAGAAGAGATTACTTCTAGCACCACAGATCCAGTGTGAGCCTGGGGTCTGGTGGGGGGCCTGGTAAACTCCCTGTGGTTGCGGAGATTGCTTTCCATCCTCGGTTCACCCTGGTATTTCCGTCCCCAGCATGGAGAGGATCAGAAGTAATGCACCACAAGTGTAGTTTTAGAGGGGGATGTGGCCGTGAAGAATGAGCTTGAATAATGCCACACTTCAGCTATCGACAAAACATGAGACTGCATCTGCATGTCAGCTGTTGTGCTTGTGTGTGTGTGTATGTGAGAATGAGTGTTACTGTGACTTATTGTATGAGTTATAGGCATTTTTTTAGTCATTTGTAATGGGTTTTTATTAATTCTGTTTATTATTATTTATTATTAAATAATGACCACGTACATGTAAAATTAAATGATGTTGTGTTGTATTCTAGTAATACAGTAGTCTCATTTACCAGATAATTACTTTTTTTAAAGATTTTTTGAAAGACATTTTCAGAAATCATATTCTTAATTACAATTTTTTCCTTTTTTGGTATATATTCTTTCAGTAAAAATAACTAGAAAAAATGTTTTAAAGAATTTTTTAAAGAAATTTGCTATATATATATGTGTGTGTGTGTGTATATATATATATATATATATATATAATTTTTGTGGCCTTTTTTATTATTGATTTTAAGAAACATTTGACATTTATTTACACACATTTTAATCACACATTTCAATGTATTATCTATCTATCGATATCTATCTACTATATTTATCTATCGATTGATACTAGAAATATCTAAAATACATTGAAATACAATTTAATTATGTTCCACGGTATGCATGTACGTTTTACCACATTTGGGAAATGTCGAGCTTTACAAACAATTTTACAACAATTTTCAAACAGTGGTCACATTTCAAGCAGTACTTAACCTCAGAATGTCTAAATGCAAATTCTGCTTTTGGAAATCTTACCAAATGTTTTTGTTTTTTTCAGTTGTTGTAAATATACATCTACAAATATAAGCTGTAAATCTTTTACTTTATTTCCTACTTTCAAACAGCCATATTGAGCAGTGTACTTGAGTATTTGTCTTTGTGTGAAGAGTACTATTTGACAGATTGATGAGTGTTCTCTTCCTCTTACACAGGTCGCCTGTCTGATCCGTGTGCCGACTGAAGTAGTAAAGCAGAGGACACAGGCCAATCCCTCTCTCAATACCTACCGAGTGCTGCTGAATACACTACATGAAGAGGTATGCGTATTCAGGATGCGTATCCTTCAGCTTGACTTACAGTGAACAATGCACTCGAGCTGTCATGTTACTGACAAATGCACTGGTGGATTATTTTGTAAAGCAACCAGTTATGAAAATGCCATGTCTTTGCAGAGATGACAACTAGTTTTGATTTCTCATTGCAGGGTTTCAGAGGCTTGTACAGAGGTTATGGCAGTACAGTACTTAGGGAGGTAGGCTGGCTTTCCTGTATCCACATCAAGTACTGGTCCTCCGTTATTTCACAGAAATATACAAATGCTTTGATACTGACATTTGATTTGAGTTCCTCTGACATTCAGGGGTGAGAGCAACATTACACATGAGCAGAACGAATGGGTCTTCAGACATGTTTTAAAACACAAGAACAGTATAAAGCAGCAAAATTATCAAAGACATCTATCTGGCACATTCATATAGGAAAGCAACTGAAAAACAGCGCAGGTGGACACAGAACACTTTCGGTGTGAATGACCACTTATTCAACATGACACAGCAGTACCTGAAGTTACTGATCAAAAGTAGGCTTTTGTTTCAATTTTATGTAGGTGAATATTCACTTCATCCAGCGCTGTTTGTTATTACAATTTAAAATAACCATTTTATTTTTTAATACATTTTAAAATATAATTTTTTCCTGTGATGGCAAAGCTGAATTTTCAGCATCGTTACTCTAGCCTTCAGTGTCACATGATCTTTCAGAAATCATTCTGATATGCTGATTTGGTGCTCAAGAAACTTTTCTTATTGTTATCAATGTTGAAAACAGTTCTGCTGCTTAATATTTTTGGTGAAACATTTCATGTTTTTTTTAAACAGATTTTTTTTTTAACAACGTAAAAGACTTTACTGTCACTTTTGATCAATCTTTTGATCAATCTAATGCATCCTTGCTGAACAAAGTTTTTATTTTTTTATGTATTTTTTTTTTGCCATTTATGATTTTATAGTTTTTCCTAAGATTTCTGTTTTCAATAGACTGTGGCTATTTAAGTAATTTTTTTACTAAATATCTGACCTATTGTTGCTCCCTTAAGTTTAATGTTCAATTTGAAAGACTTTGTGTGCAACTCTTTTTAAATGTCTTCTGAATTATTTTTTTTTTTACAAATGGACCCTTTTCACATTTCCGGGTTTCTCAGCAGCGGAAGTCGACATAATTGAAGGATTTAATTGGGGTCTTCTCCATTATGCAGATTAATAAAAGAACCCCGGACAAGAGGTTGTGATGAAATACAGCCCACCGATATGCACTAGTTGATCATGAGAAGAGAGATAGAATGGCAAGCAGTTAAATGACAAACAAAAAGGCTGGTGTGAAAAGGAATTATCACACATGATACATGATGTCAATAGAAATGAATAGTCAAGGATAAATCACATCATTTACCATCAGTGTTTGCTCGTATGCTCACCACGACTGCATTTATTTAATCAAAAATAGAGTAAAAATAGCAATATTGTGAAATATTACTATTACAATTTAAAATAACCATTTTATTTTTTAATACATTTTAAAATATAATTTTTTCCTGTGATGGCAAAGCTGAATTTTCAGCATCGTTACTCTAGTCTTCAGTGTCACATGATCTTTCAGAAATCATTCTGATATGCTGATTTGGTGCTCAAGAAACTTTTCTTATTGTTATCAATGTTGAAAACAGTTCTGCTGCTTAATATTTTTGGTGAAACATTTCATGTTTTTTTAAAACAGATTTTTTTTTTTTAACAACGTAAAAGACTTTACTCTCACTTTTGATCAATCTTTTGATCAATCTAATGCATCCTTGCTGAACAAAGTTTTTATTTTTTTATGTATTTTGTTTTTTGCCATTTATGATTTTATCGTTTTTCCTAAGATTTCTGTTTTCAATAGACTGTGGCTATTTAAGTAATTTTTTACTAAATATCTGACCTATTGTTGCTCCCTTAAGTTTAATGTTCAATTTGAAAGACTTTGTGTGCAACTCTTTTTAAGATGCAAAGGTGATATAATACAAAGAATAGTGTTATAAATGTACATACATTTAAAAAAAATACAAATATGAAAAACTTTCGAGGATTTACGATGCCGTTAAACGCGTCATCAGTCTTGTGAAAAGGGTCCATCGAACCGATTATTGAGTTCTGCCTACAACGGATAACAGGAGGTGATTTACAGTGAAAAATTACTTCAGTTTGTCTCTATTCCTCACACAAAGCTACCAACTGACTCCAAAAGCAAAAAAACAAGACTACATATTACACAAATACAAGTTGTTAGGGTTCTGTTTTATAAGGTGTGTCCTGGTTTTGGCCACTAGAGGGCATAACAGGATTAGGGCAAATCTGATAACCATCTGCATGGAAGCTGAAAAGATCACAGCACTCAGATTTCAAGGAACATCAAACATGACAACTTTAATCACATTTATGAAAGCTGAATGGAAGATAAAACTATTTCCTCTAGCTTACTCTTTTGTAACCTGTGCTTATATCTCTTGACGTTTTTGCTGCAGTGAAACCATAGTATTAAAAATGAATAATATGGATTTTGTAAGAAATGTTTCTGTCATGTTGACAGAGATCTGATCATAGTACTTTCTCATGACACTCACCCGAGAGAAAGCGTGAGATTGGGATAGACAGAAGAAGAGTGCTGTTGGAGATACAGCTCACAGTACTGTTGGTTACCATCTGACAGAGCTCATTGTATATCAGCACAGATGTGAGAGCGGAGGGAAGGGCAGGAGAGGAGAACTGGCAACCCTGTAAGAATGTAGTTATGAAACACCTACGCCTTGAGCTGCGCTCTTGTCAACTTCTGCATTAGTTGTTGCAGAGATGACTAAAAATGTATTTCCCTCAGCATTTCCTCAGATTCAAATGCTGATACAGTTAGAAAACTCTGGCATCAGTTACTCACCCTTATGTGGTTCCAAACCTTGTTTTTTGCCATTCTAAAACACTGTAAAATTTGTGCTCTGTATTGCAAGAAAATTGCAACAGAAACTTGGAAGCGTCAATTTATTAAATTAATTAACCACAATAATTTTTATTGCAGACGTTTTGAACTTTTTGTTCTTTAGTAGTTGTTGAGAAAATAAAAGATGGGGGAAAAAAGGGGTTTACACCTTATGATTTTTAATTTTTTTATTTTATTTAACTTAGAATATTTTTATATTATTAAAATAATATTAATACTAATCAATTTAAATAATTTTGAATCATCCTGCAGCCACCTGCTTGAGGTAACAGGATTCTGTAAGAATACTAGCTGAAGTTACACTCTTTTGAAATTGTTTCGTTAAAGGGGTCATATGATGTTGCTAAAAAGAACATTATTTTGTGTATTTGGTGTAATGAAATGTGTTTATGCGGTTTAAGGTTAAAAAACACATTATTTTCCACATACTGTACATTATTGTTTCTCCTCTATGCCCCGCCTTTCTGTAACGCGTCGATTTTTACAAAGCTCATCGGTCTGAAAAGCGAGGTGTGCTGTGATTCAATTCAATTCAAGTTTATTTGTTGATTAAATTGGTTGATTGGCCAGCTATCCAGTGCGTTGTGATTGGCCGAATACCTCAAGCGTGTGACGGAAATGTTACGCCCCTACCATACTGTGATGCCCTGTCCGGCCGGAGCGACGAGACAAAAACATCTCTAGTTGAACCTGAAGGCATAGAGCCCCAGAGGTCTTGGACCTGGCCGAGATCAATTTGTCAGACTTATCCCTGTGTTTATGTTGCTGTTGTTCATTGGTCACAGTCGAACAGGTGGAAGTGTGTATGTTTGACCTGCAGTGCAGTGTGGATTTGCTTCTTTCTTCTTCTAACACAAGCACGGAGAGGATAAGAGGCAGGGGTATGCGCTTTTCTTTATGCTTGTCTGTTGGATTCGTTCTACAATCAATTTCCTTTCAGATTTCCACAGTCATTTGTTCTCTCCATTTAACTTCTTTCAACTGTCATTCCCAAGCATTTACAGATTGAGAACGAGAACGTTATTTTGACCCTTTCAACAAAGTCCTCTTAAAAAAGGGCTTTAAAATATTCAGCCCTCAGAGATCCAGCATTGATATAAGAGGCTTTTGAGTATTTGGGATGATTTGTTCTGTTTCAGATGGAAAAACAGAGTGTGAAAAGTGAAAAAAAAAAAACCTGAAGCAATTTTCTCTTTCCCATTGTACATTTTTATAACCTTTAGGAATATTATGTCATATTTATGTTTTATTTATCTATTTTTTCCTCCTATCATTAAACATTGGTCAAATAATAAGTTAGTAATGGTGTCAGCAGACAGTGAGCATTTGCTGTGACTTTGGCTTACTGGAAAATCCAAGTTATAAATACACTACCGTTCAAGATTATTGTCTTTGAAATAAATTAATTTTATTCAGCAAGGATGCATTAATTTGATTAAAAGTAACAAAGACTTGCACTGTTACAAATAAATGTTCTTTTGAACTTTGTTCATCAAAGAATTCTGAAAATTTCCCCAAAAATATTAAGCAGCACAACTGTTTTCAACATTGATGATAATAATAAGAAATGTTTCTTGAGCATCAAATCGGTATATTAGAATGATTATGAAGGATCATGTGACACTGAAGACTGGAGTAAATTAATCTTTGCATCACAAAATAAATTGCATATTAAAATAGTTATTTCCAATGATAACAATATTTCACAATATTACTTTTTTACTGCTTATGATTAAATAAATGCAGCCTGAGCTAAAGACTGAGCATAAGACCCTATGCATTTAAATGGTAGTGTATGTTCTTGTTTATTGCTGCTGCTTAATGTAGTTTTAACCTATATTTGGTGAAAATTTGATATTTAAGTGCTTTAGACAACTCTAGCAATACTGCAGTGGGTTTATGAGGGTTGAACTTTATTTGTCAGGGCTGGATTTGATCTAACTTTAATCAGATATTTTCAGAGCTCAGCCATCCAGTTCTTTAGCCCTGCCTCATTACTCTGTGATCTTTTTTTATTGTCTTTATTTTATCTGATTAGACGACATTAAACCTGCTTGCCATGCACATTCCTCAGCCTATTTCACAATGATGTGTGACGTGAATGTGTGAGAATATTATGTATATATGCGTATAGCATTGATCCATACCGGTTTGTATTTATTGTCTCTCAGCTAGTTGGCTGGCTGGCAATGTTTCTGTTTATTTGAACTGTGGCATATATGAGTGAAT